TAATCTATTAAGTTTCCAAATGAGATCAGAGTAGAAAGGAAAGTAGTAAGAATATTTTACCTGAACAACCCGGACTAAGATACGGATGGCCCTTGTAGCCAGGAGCACAAGTGCAACGATACCCTCCAATGCCACTCTCATCGGCATTAACACAAGTAGTATTTTCCTTGCAAGCATAAGTTTCGGGATCAAGTTTCGCATTGGCACAAGTGTCATTAGAAATCACCCAAACTAGTACTAAAGGAGCATCATACACAGTCCTGTTTATAAAGTTGGGATCATTCAGATCTGAAACCCCGCGAAACTTAAAACTTTCTTGGTCTGCCAAGAATGAATAGCCACAAGGATTATAAGAAGACATCGTCGTATGGTTACTTTCGTATTCATGAGAGATTTGGTACTGAATCATTCCCTTGGATATGGAGGTTTGGCAACACCCTACGTTATTGCATTGTCCTGCAACAACGTTTTTGGCTCCGGATTTGCAACTGCTTCGGCATTTAGCTTCATCATCAGTGGTAAAGGAATAGGGTGGGTTTTCAAAGCTTCCAGAGTATCTCGCTAAATCATTGCACCCCACAACAAATAGCTTGTTTGCAGCGCCTATATCACAATGCGGAATGCTAGCTTATTCTAAGTTGAATACTACTCCGTAGAAATTGATTAAAGTATATTTCGTGAGAAATTATCAAACAAAACTCAGATTTTGTGTGAAACTACCTAATTAAAATAATATTGTAAGACACTACCTAATAAAAGGTAAAATGTTGTAAAATACTATCACAATTGACCTAATTTTCCGATGTCGACTCACCTTAAAACACCATTGGATCGGAACTATCACCTCGTAGCCCGAAAGTACCCCCACTAACCCAGAATATCCCTAAACCACCTTGAAAACCAACTCTCGATGTAGTTTCAAGGTTATTTAGAGGTGGGTCAACGCCGGAAAGTTTGGTCAACGGAGGAAATCTAGCTATAAGTAGTATTTTACAACATTTTACCTTTTATAAGGTAATTTCTTACAACATATTTTTATTAGTCAGTTTTTAACAAAATTTGGGTTTTATTAGATAGTTTCTCACAAAAAATCTTTGTTAAAACATGCTCTAGATAGTAATTACGGGAAGTGATTTTAAATGTCCAGAATATACTATCTCCTTTTAAACCTTCTTTAGTTCACATTATTTCAAGACCTTATCAATTTTTCATATCAAATCTGAAAAAAAAGTTCATATTAAATTAGTTTAAATAAGCAAAATGAAGGTGAACTAAATAAGGCTTTAATGTTGGATTATTTGCTTAAACTGTACTATTAGTGGTTAGTTAGCACCTAATGTATAAGTATATGCTCTAAAAGTGATTAGTTTGTGTTAGTGGAGTGGGTTAATAATGTTAGCATGATCTAATGATCATGAGACCATGTTCCTTATTTTTAGCTCACACTATATATATGTTGATATAGATCTAATATTTTTTTTTTTATTGAAACAGGAAAAAAAAAATATATCTAAATCACATCCAAAGAAGGAAGTGTCATGCTAATATTCAACCTAATAAATTCATTTTATCTTTTGCAATTCTTTATTTAAAAAAAATGGTCAAATTGATCAATTAGAATTTACGTTATTACTCAAAAAAAGAATAGTAAGGACAAACTGAAATGCTATTCTTGGATTGTGTGCCACTTATATAATTTGGATATCTAATCAAACCAATTAGATAATGAATTACTACTTCAACAATATTTCTTGAGCTGTGTGTCGTCACTTAGGAGGCTTCATATTTGTTTTGATAGTAAATTTTTCTATATTTCATTGTTTGATTAGCATAGGATGCAAAAGATTTTCTAAGAAAATGATTTTTCCCTATTTCATTGTATGATTAGAAAAAGATGCATAACATTTTTCATATTATGGTCTTAGCCTCTTAGGCGTTATTTTGGCTCTTCTGGGTCTGAATTGAAGTCAAATCAAATATGTGTCATTTTGTGTGCAACATGTAACATGAGGCATTTCTAATTATTGCTAGTATTTTTTTGTCAATTTTGACCTCCAACCTGATCTTCAAAATAAAAAAGATCCCAAAAACCTTAATAGACTAATTTCTTGACATGAACATCGATTATTTTCTCTTCAAAAAAAGGAGCTTAACAATTATTTTAACAAAAACTGTTAAGAAGCGATCGATAAAATCTATTTTTTTGTGATCTTGTAGGTAGTTAAATAAAATAAAGGGGAAAACCCATGATTAAATATAATCAAATACAAAATTTCTTACAAGATACAATTCATATAAATTGATTGTTATCCACATTAGAGAAAAAGAGGTAATAAATTAGTCAATAAACTCAAATACAAGAAGATCGAAGATGAGAAATGAGTTCATCACGTAAATGTAGAAAGGCCAGGTATAAGCATTTAACCGAGTTACTATCATTTATCGCTACATGTATTATTGCAGTTGCGTACCTGATATACGATAAGGAGCACCCACGGAAATGTCGAATAGAATGGAATCAGAACCCAGAGGCGATGATTCTGCTGTCGAGTTGAAACATCTGTAGCTAATTTGGTTTTTAAGACGGATGTATGTTTCAGATATATCGAGGATCTCAACTGCATCTCCATTCCAATCACTGACTGTTATCAGAAATGCTTTCGGAGGATTGTAAGAAGTCATGCAGAAGATGTCATACCACTCGTTTCTGGAGCAGCCGACTCCAAAGCCGACCCCGAATGGATAGGGGACGGTTAAGTTGCCGCATTTGCGTGGGCAGCCAGGCTTGGTGATGTTAGAGGTGGTACTAATGAATTTGTTGGTTAATGGTGTTGCAGGACATGCTGGAATAATGATGGATGGTAGTGGTACTATTATTGTAATTATAAATATTTGCATGGTTTTTTGGTTTAATTTGTGATATTATTAATTGGCTTGGCTTGCAATGTATGTATAAACCTTGCATGAATTTGGTTCAAAGGGTTTACTTTACTTTACCAATGAAGGAATGTCTTATAGAAATAATGGTATGATTATTGAATTGGCCTCTTTAATTATGTAATAGTATACTAGTGATATTTGATCCAATCCCATTTGCATGTACCCGGTGTACAGTATTTTTACTGTACATCGGGTTTTCGCACGTGCTTTTTTTTTAAAAAAAAAATCGCAGAATTTCAAATACCTAAAAATAAAAAAAACGCAGAACAACAATGGAGGAGAGAGAAAGTGAGAAAATGCAGCTATCAATCATCCATTGAGGAGAGAGAAAGTGAGAAATCGCAAAAATTGCAGAAAACGATCATCAATCGAGGAGAAAAAAGGTTAGAAAACGCAAAAATTGCAGAAATCGATCATCAATCGTGGAGAAAAAAGGTGAGAAAACGCACAAATAGAAGAATTCGATCATCAATTAAGGACAAAGAAAGTGAGAAAACTTACAAATTGCAGAATTCGATCATCAATGGAGAATTCGACTTTCGATACAACAAATTGCAGCAATCTCATTCACGAATTGCTACAAAAACAAAGGCAAATTGAGACTGAATTTGAAATCGATTTAAATCGATCGATTATAGAAGAAGAAGAAACTAATTGTTTTGGAGATGAATTCGTACCAATATTCAACAATCCAGACAATGCAGATGCAATCGATAATGCAGATGAAGCAATTGAGAATGCAGAAGACGCAATTCACAATGCAGAAAATCAAGTGGTTCCTGATAAATCAATTGATTCAAATTCAGAACAAACAACCAAATCAGATGCAACTGAAGGTAATTTCTATGAATTTTTGAGATTGTATGCAAAAAGTAACCCTTTGAATACATAATTGTTACCCTTTTCATGCATAAACGTGACCATACTTATGCCTAAATGTTACCCTCAGATTGAATGCAGAACTTTTTAGATTGCATGCAAAAAGTAACCCTTTGAATGCCTAAATGTTACCCTTTTCATGCTTAAAAGTGACCCTATTTATGCTCAAATGTTACACTCAGATTGTATGCTGAAAATTCAGATTGTATGCAAAAAGTAACCCTTTGAATGCCTAAATGTTACCTTTTTCATGCATAAAAGTTACCCTATTTATGCTCAAATGTTACACTCAGATTGTATGCTGAAAATTCAGATTGTATGCAAAAAGTAACCCTTTCAATGCCTAAATGTTACCTTTTTCATGCATAAAAGTTACCCTATTTTCAAACGAATGTTACCCTTTTTTTTATGCTGTCTGTGGTTATTATCTGATTTGTTTGTATTAAATAACAGATACAAATCCAATTGATGCTTATGGTTTAGATCTTAGAGGATCATTTGTTGGTGTGGTAAGAGAAACTTTTGAAGAAATTTTGGAATTGTATGAAAAACATGCTGCTATACTGGGGTTTTCAATAAGAAAACATACAACTAGATTCAAACAACACACAAAAATAGTAGCTGAGAAAAACTATGTGTGTTCTGCTGAGGGAAAGAGACATTCAGGTCAGAAGAAAACAAAGTTAGTTGAAATGGTTGATGAAGAGGATGTAAATGTAAAAACAAGAAAGCCAAGACAAGTATCCATTACAAGATCAAATTGCAAGGCATGCATAAGAGCAAAAGTGAATAAAGAAGGACAGTTTGAGGTGGTGGCTCATGTTATTCAGCATAACCACGAGCTAACAAAGCCACAGTGGCATTATTTGCATCGTTCTGAAAGAAAAATGACAGAGGAAAAAGTTGTAACAATCAAAACAATGAAATCGTCAGGTCTAATTACAATGGACACTTACAATTACATGGCTATAGAGGCTGGAGGAGAACAAAATATAGGCCATAGTGTTGTAGATCACCTGAATTTCTGCTCAAGGTTAAGAAAGGAACAAATTGAGGCTGGAGATGCTCAAACTTTAGTGAACATTTTAAGTTAGGAACAATCAGAGGATCCAAACTTCTTTTTTAGAGTGAAGTTTGACAAAGAAGGAAGAATTTGCAATATCTTTTGGAGAGATTCAATGATGCTAGAAGACTATAGGATATATGGAGATGTTCTTGTCTTTGATACAACATACAGAACCAACAGATATAATCTTATATGTGCTCCATTTGTTGGCATAAATAACCACTGGCATAATTGTATGTTTGCTTGTGCTTTTATTGGGGATGAAACGACAGATTCATTTGTGTGGTTACTACAAACCTTCTTCAAAGCCATGGAGGATAGAAAACCAACTTCAATATTCACTAACCAGGACCAAGCAATGGCAAATGCTATACTGGAGGTAAAAGATTTATATTGACATCTTACAGATTTGAGCTATGACAATAAAGTTTTCCTTTTTCACATAAAGTTACCCTTTTAGCTGCATAAAGTTACCCTTTTTAGTGCATAAAGTAACCCTTTTAACAGCATAAAGTGACCCCTTTATTTTCAATGCAGGTGATTCCTAATACAAGACATAGACTTTGTATATGGCATTTGGAGAAAAATGCCATAACCAGATTTGGAGCTCTTAAAAAAGACAAAGAATTCAAATTTGCATTCAACCAGTGCTTAAAGATGTGTGTGACAGAACAAGAATTCGAAGCAAAGTGGCAAGCAATGTTGCAAAAATATGAGTTGACTGAACACTCTTGGTACAAAAGAGTGTATGAGTTGAAAGACAAATGGTGTCCTGCCCTTTGTAGAGATTTCTTTTCAGCAGGGATCTTATCGTCACAAAGGAGTGAAAGCACTAATCATGCCATAGGATTCAGAGCAAGTAAAGCAACTACTTTGACAGAATTTTATACCATATTTAAGAAGACAACTAATCGTTGGAGAAGCACAGAGAAATATGATGAGTTTACCTGTAGCAAGTCAATAGCATTCACTTCATTGCCTCTATCTGGAATGCTAAAGCATGCCGCACAGGTAAAAAGTTAACTGACAAGTACATAAATTACACCTAATATATGGCAATTTAAATGAAGCTACATGATTTTGATGTACAGGTTTTCACTTTATCACTCTTTAGAAATTTTGAAGAGGAGTTTGGATACTCTATGGCAACAACTGTTCAGATGTTAGGCAGTAATGAAGAATGCCTACTTTATCAAGTAACACTAGAAGACAAGCCATGGTCTGCACATCAAGTAACTATATACAAGAGAGCCAAACTGTATGGTGTACTTGCAAAAACTTTGAAGCATCTGGATGGTTATGTTATCATTGCATCAGAATTCTACATTTGCATTCAGTAACAAGAATACTAGACAAGTATGTTTCAAAAAGATGGACTAAGTTTGCAAAAATAGAGGCATGGGATAGGTTGAAGAATCAGGATCCTAAACAGCAATATATTCCATGGAGGCAAACAATGATGAGGAAATACTACAATCTAATCTTAAAAAGTCAAGAAAATGAAGAGACAAGAGCATTTATGGAAGAAAGCTTTAGAAACAGTCTTAAAATGGTGGAAGACTTACTTGCTAGTGCTGCTCAGAAAGAAAGTGCAGAAGCTGCTTCTAACATTCCTGATGTGGCAGACAACACTCAAAGCAATACTGACGCTTCTTCAGCATCGAGTACAAGCACATGTGTACCAATAATTCTTGATCCTAAAAGGGCTGTAACAAAAGGAAGAAGCAAGAGAGCAAAAGGAGGACTTGAAAAAAGCAAGAGAAAAAGAAAACCAGCACTGCCACCTCCAAATTCAGAATTTGGATCAAAGACACCTAACTTACGACTCTTTTAAGATCTTTTTTAGAACATTTGTTTTTTTCGAAATTAATATACCTTGTATTGTTAAACTATTTTTCTTTTGTTTTTTTACTCTATGACTAGTTTAATGAAAATGTGATTGACACTTTTATTAGCACATGTTTAATTATTGGAATACATCAACTTATGTTACCCTTTTAACGTATAAAAGTAACCCTTTTCATGCATAAAAGTAACCCTTTTCATGCATAAAAGTGACCCTTTTCATGCATAAAAGTGACCCTTTTCATGCATAAAAGTTATCCTTTCTATCCACTAAATCAACCTTTTCTTTGGCAATAGTTACCCTTTCTGTTAATAAAAGTTAACCCTTTTATCAATAAAAGTTACCCTTTTCATGCATAAAAGTTACACTATCTACCCACAAAAGTATACCTTATCATGTATAAACTTATTATTTCTACCCACAAAAGTAACCCTTTTTATGCTACAAAGTAAACCTTTTTATGCATGAAAGTGACCCTTTTCATGCATAAAAGTTATCCTTTCTATCCACTAAATCAACCTTTTCTTTTCTAATAGTTACCCTTTCTATTAATAAAAGTTACCCTTTTTATCACTAAAAGTTATCCTTTTCATGCATAAAACCCCTGACCCTTTTATTTTACAGAAAAAAGTGTCCCTTTTCATGAATAGAAGTGACCCTTTTTCTACATAAAAGTGACCCTTTTCATTGCTAAAATTACCATTTCTAACAATAAAATCTACCTTTTTCTTGCTTAAAAGTTACCCTTTCTATAAATAAAAGTTACCCTTTTCTGCATAAAAGTTACCCCATAAAAAACATAAAAATAAACCTTTTAATTACTTTATGCATGTATTCACATACATCAGTATTCCAAAAACAACTAAAGACTTTAAACTAAGTTTAATTACATCATTAAACTTAATGTATGCACATAAATTAAGTTTTTTCATTGTTAAAAAAACCCCCTGAACTAATCAGCTAACAACTATCAATTATTTCACTATTTAGAAGGAGTAAACTTTTTTGCCTGCTTTTTTGCCCTTTTTCCTTTGTTCTTTTCCTCTTCTCCCTCTGCCTTTGCTTCTGCTTCTGCTGCCATTTTTCTTTCTTCTGTTTCTCTCTTCTTCTTTGCAGCAATTGCAGCCTTTAATCTTTCTTCAATTCCATTGACATAAGCAGGATCTTTCTTCTTCTCATTGAACTTGTGTAATTCTGACAACACATTGTTCCTAGATTCATTCAAATCACACAGTACCAGTGTGGTACAGATCTCTCCTCGTAAAAATTTCCTTCCATTAATCTCAAAACAGCAAAAAAAATAAAAATTATCAATATGTAATTAATAAAAGCATTAGAAAGGAAAAAACTACAGAAACTATATAGATAATTACTGTTTTGAGATCATTAAATTTGAACGATTCACCAACAAAATGGAGCATGTGATACATGACAAAGACCCCACAGTCCAAATTGTCAACTTTTTCTTTTCTCCATTCCAACTCAACAACTTCAAAACCATAAGAAGGTAGCTGAGAACTCTTTGGATGATTTCTTTTGCCAAGAAAAGCACTGATTTGAACACACTGACATAAAATATAAAAGTTTAGAATACATTAAAATCAAAAAAGTTAAAATGGAAACAATGAATCAACAGTAACATAACAAAAAAAACAAACATAAACATACCATCTTTGAACACAATTCTTTTGTATAAACAAGAACAGAATCAGTCCAGATAATGTTGTCAAGATAATATACCAACTCTTTTGTATGATCAATAACATACAAAATGTAGTGATTCTCAATAAGAACAGGAAAATAGATCTGAAACAACAAAATTAAAGAGATTTAAACAGAGCATATCATAAAGAGAACTCTTTTAAATTTATTACATTAAGTTTAGAATAAAAATACCAGATCAGCATCCATTATATTACATTCTGGATTCTCATAGCTAACCCAACCTTCCCATATGTCGTGCAAATCCTTAACAACACTAGATATGTTACCTTTGCCAATATTGTCACAAACATGCAAGAATGAAAACTATTAAAGTATAAGATCTCAATAATATATATATAAAGTAAATGTGTTAAGATATAAAAAAAGGAATGAAATAACTTACACTCTGCCTAACACCGAAGAAGAATTTCCGAGGACCAGTAGCCTGAAAACATGCTTTCTCATTCAAATACAGACAGAAGCAATCAATAACGCACCATCGAATCCTGAGTGGAGCAACAAGGGACACCATGTCTTCTCTTGGAATTAAAAAGTTCATTCCAAAAGTAACAAGGCTCTCACTGAAACAATAAAAAATAAGATCAACATTAAAAAAAAAATATAAGAAAAAAAACAGATAAAAAAATAATTATAATAAAAAAGGACACTTAACTTCCTATCCATTGAAACATCCTTCAGCAAACAATAATCGAGAATTTCCAAATGTAACTGAGGCAAATTCTTGAAAATCCGAGCATTGCTCTTTACAAAAAGAGTTACAAAAGGCACCTGCACACCTACATGTCCACAGTCCAGAGAGCATAGAGATTTATTTGCTCTGAGTCGAGGAGGTTCATTTTGATCAATATGCCCGACAGGAATATTTTGAGTAGGACCAGGAATGATAGCAGAAGGTCCAGAACCATTAAGGCCTTCATTAACTATTTTTCCATGACCATTGTCATCATCCTTAGGAATATTTTCATTGAAACCTTGTGCAGGTTCTTTTTCAGGAACAAAATCTTTGTTACCTTCTGTAGGTTCATAAAAACCGCGAAACATATCATGTACAGACTTCATTTTATTACACTCATCAATTAAACCATCTAAAATCTTCAAATAATGAGGATCAGAGAGTAGCAGTTCAGTTTGAGAAACTGAAACAAAATCATCAGAAGATAATGAAACACTTCTGCGAGAAGTAATCAGATCATTCAAGGTTTGAAAGCCAGTTGACTGAAAAAATAATAAAACATCCATATTTCTTTTAAACAAAAGAAACGTTTCATGAACAACCTACAAACATATGAACAATGAAAAAAAAATGTTACAAATAAAAATAATAAAATAAGTAGGAAATCTAAATATATGCTAAAAGTGACCCTTTTAAATGCATAAACTGACCCTTTTAAATAAAAAAAGTTACCATTTTGTATGAATTAAGTAACCCTTTTAACTTAATATTGAAGATAACTTTAATGCAACTAAAGGGTAACTTCGGTGCAAATAAAGGGTAACTTTGGTACACAAAAAGGGTAACTTTTGTACACAAAAGGGTAACTATTGTACACAAAACGGTAACTTTTGTACACAAAAAAGGGTAACTTTTGTACACAAAAAGGGTAACTTTTGTACACAAAAAGGATAACTTTTGTAAACAAAAAGCAATAATAACTAAACATATAAGAAAACAGAACACTTACATCAGTTGAAATTTTTTTAATTTCTTCATCGGTCATAATACCTTCTGGAAGCTCAAATGCAACAATGCGACCAGTGGTACCACTTGTAGAAGGACCCTTATCATAACCCAAAGTAGGAGCTGGCTTAAAAACAGTTCCCCTAAAATTAAGCTGTGACACAGGATATGTAATAGTATCCAATGGTCCCTGCCCATAACCACCAGCTTTGATCTCTAACTTAATTCGCTTCTTAATCTTTACATCCGTCCAATGTTGAATTAAAGGAAGAGTACTACTTTCCTTTTCACCTTGAAAATTTAGACGATGAAAATACATAATTTGCAAAGCCAACAAACAACCACTAACATTTTGAGCATTTTCATCATCCTTATACTTCTGAACAGCCTTCTTTAACTTTTTTAAAACATATGAACACCAATCAAAAGTTTTAATTTCATCAACTTTTTCAACAGCTTTCAGCAACTTCAATGAAACAGTCCTATTAGTAGTAGGAGCTAAAAAGCTAGGCATAGCTTGAAGAACAAAACACCTCTTAAATTCTTCCCCTCCATCAACCAAATCAACCATCCTAGACTCCAATTTTGACAAATGAAGAGGTTGCTTACCAGAAAGACCATAATCAGATCTCCATGCCTGAATGATACGTTTATCTACACTTTCATCTTCAGAATTTTTATTAATTTCAGGAACACAAATATCACTCAAAGGCAAGCAAAACACATCGCATATATCATTTCTAGTAACAACAAATTCTTTACCAGTAGCGATGGTAAACATGCAGCTACCAGCATTGAAGTTTTCAACAAGCCAATGTAGCATTTGACGATTAAGAGTTTTCAATTTAAGATGTAATAAACCTCCAAAACCAATTTCTTCAACAGCCTGTTTTTGCTCAGGACTAAAGTTCTGCAGCAATATTTCCAATGAATAGGGTCTACATCTTGCAATGATTCTTCTTTGCTCCCTAAATAGAAAAAAAAAGAAAGAAAATGTAACTAAAACAATATAAAATAAAAACAAAATATAATTAAAAATGTAATAAAAAAATATGTATACTTACATAAAAGATTCAGAATCAGATTCAGAAAGCATTTCATAATCGGAATCTTCCACTGTATTAGCTTTCTTAGGTACAATTTTGGCCTTCTTAGGAACTATTTTGGCCTTCTCAGACTCTGGTTTGTCACTCTCAGGAATTTTCCCAGCCTTTTTAGATATTGCTTTGCTCTTCTCAGGAGCTATCTGGGTCTTTTTTGGTACTGGTTTAGGCTTAGCAGGCTCTTTAGGCTTTCCTTTTCCTTTTGTAGGCTTTTTATAACGATAACCACCTATTGAACCACCTGTATTTAATTATTAAAGTAATATAAATACAAATTCAGAAATTACTCATGGAAAAATATAGAATAATGTGCACAAATGACACTTTTAAATGCATAAAGTGACCCTTTTAACAGCACAAAGTAACCCTTTTAACAGCACAAAGTGACCCTTTTAACAGTATAAAGTGACCCTTTTAACAGCATAAAGTGACCCTTTTAACAGCATAAAGTGACCCTTTTAACAGCATAAAGTGACCCTTTT